GCTTTTGAGCAGGGGGTTGGACTAGATGACCTCCTGAGGTCCCTTCCAACCCTGATATTCTATGATTCTAATAATAACTTTGTAACTGTTACCAGGTGAATAAAGTCCTTGTGACAGCTATATATCACTTTACACTGTAGCCATGACCTTAAGGCCCAATGTCTCCAAAGAGAACTGTTGTCCTAACTATAAATCCCCCCATCCAAACTAGTCCTTTACCTTCTGAAGAACTGGGTTGATTTGAAAGAGTGTCTGTCTTACTGTTATCACTAAGTATTCTGTGTATCATACAATAGAAAATTGTATAAGAGTCAAACAGCCAAATTCTGAAGTTTTAACTTAGTCCTCACTCCAGCAAATATTCCTTTGAAGTCAATAGAGTTTTGCTGCAGTAAGGACAGAGTGAGAACTTCAGGGCATGTGACTCGTAATTTTAACAGTTTTTATTGTTAAGATAATTATTAAAAACACACTCTCATTTTAACCCCAGATGACATGAAGAAGTTAAATCTAAGACGCCAAGTAAGTCCCAACGAAGGGACTTATTGTTCTTTATTTTTCTTTTCATCCACATGTATTAGTCACACAAACTTGAATGGAGAATTGATCCATAGTGTATCTAAGATCCAGATTGCAGGGTTTGAGGTTTTTTTATTAATTTTCTCTTTTTTCCTTGTTAAGAGATCCTGCTAAGGATGAATCATGAGATCTGAGGATCATAAATATTAAATAAATACCAGACTTTAAACATATTCCTAAAAATATTTGTTTTTTAATTAAAAAACAGATAATTAGTTTTTATTTTAAAAAATGAGAAGTACCTATCCTTTATCCCATTGGTCTCTTTGGTTCATTCTCTATTGTAACCACTACCATTTTGAGCTGCTATTATAAATAAGACTGGCCATGTATTTGAGCAACCAAGAACTCCTGCGGAAGTTATGTATTGCTTCAGGGAATACTGTGATTTTTTTGGTTATTCTGAATGAATTAGTAGTTGTCTATCTGGACTCCCCCAATGTTGCCATAGAAGATATATAAAACTTCTAAACAACCTTATCCTAATCAAGATGGATTTAACATTCATATCCCTGGCGTCATGGAGAGAAAAGTGCGTGTTTGTTGGATTTTGAAATTGTATCCCATTTACTTTAACTTCGACTACAGTATAATGCATACCATGTGAGTTAAGGTATTTACTGAAAACTAAAGAATGTATAACTTTATAATGGCTGAGGATTTTTCAGTCAAAATGAGAATTATTTTTCTGACCTGCGAAGAATTAAATGCAAAGTTTTAAAAACTGAATTTGTCAGTGGGATGAATGGTTTAGTAATCTTACCTCTGCTGTCCCATTTGAAATACAGTCAGTAATCCTAAATGAAGAATGTTAATGTTTTCAAACAACTCCCCAGAGAAGGGTAGACACCATCCTGTCTGTATACAATTCAGTAGACTGATAAATCTTTATTCAGAAAAGAAGGCTAGTGGTAGCCCTGAGATGGGAGTTGCTGTTTCCCAGTGTTGAGGTTATTTGTAAGATAACATGGTTGTGATCACATTGTAACTGTTAGGTAGAATCCCTTTTAATTCCAACAAGCTTCACAATATATGTTCAAATATTTCAGCCTTTCATTGTGGGAAGAGAATCAGTTTGAGCTTATTGAATGTTTTCTGCTTTTTCACAATCAATATTTTGATGTTACCTTTTATTTTTGTATTGAAAACATTTTTGTCTAGATAATCCTGATATCATGCGTAGTAAATACACAGTTTAGACGCAAGTACAGTCAAATAACTTCAAGTGACTGTAATTGTTACCGTCAATAATTGATAAAGTAACAAATGAAATAGGGGCCAGATTTTGACATCCTTCCTGTCTTTGAGTAGTACCTTCCACTATGAGTAGTCACATTCAGTAAATGTGCTTAGGTGTGGAATAAGTTGCTGTTCAATGTAAATCAATCTGTGCTGTTAGTTTCAGCAACATAGAATGTTTAGAACCAAATGGGAGAGCATCTTCTCCAGGTTAGTTTGAGCTATACTGTTAGACCCCAGTTAAGGAAAATATCCATATTAACATTAAGCACATACTTAAGCATATGCTTAAAATGCTTTCCTGAACTGGGGCCTCAGAGCAATATGTGAAAATCTGCAAGAATCCACACCCACAGCTTTCACTGCAAAGTGGTCCTTTCGTTACCTTTATGTTCAGGGTGGTAGTTTTGTTCCTTCAAAATAGCTGTACAATATGCCAGTATGACATTCTAGCCATAAAAGGGCCAATTATGCAAAGGTACTGAACACTACCTCTAATACTGAATGCTCTTAGTTTCCATTGAAGTTAGTGAAAGTTGCAAATGCTCAGTACATCACTCTAGGTTGGTTTTTATAGTTGATAGGTAAAGGTATTGGCCAGTAAGCACAGTCTTAACTTTCTGATCCGACTGTGTTTCTATGCTGATGCATTTGATAAGCTGAGCTATGTCAACATTATATATCTCAGTAAGGCTTTTAATAAGGAAAGTAAACCTAGAAATTGAATTTTTAATCATTGTAGGAATAAAATTATTGGGAGGGACAAAGAGACCTCAAGAAAGTCATGTGTTCTATCTGTGTATGACTGATGGTGAAGTTTATAGTCTTAATTAGATTATCAGTTACTTTAAGTTTAAGAAGACAAGTTAGTGTTTTCATGGTAAAATGTATCTGATAATAAGATACAGAAAAGCTGAAGTTCAAGAAATGCGCTGCTCTTTCAGATAATGATGAGGGGAGGAGTGGGCTCTTCTATTATCCACAGGGAATTTAGTATGTGTGTGTACACACACGCACATAGCCTTTTGACTAACCGTAACTAACATTTTTCTTATTTATACAATAAAAATATTAACTCTTATCTCGGTAAACCTGGAATATAGCTGTTGGAGTAGGAAGTACAGTCTGAAAATATAACTGCATACAAAAATAACTCCAAATAGCTATAATTTCTTGTCTTCAGTATTGCCTAAACATGGCAATCTGTATTTTTCAGATCTGATTTCTTAATAAATCTCCCCACTGTATTTTCCACTGAATGCATCTGATGAAGTGAGCTGTAGCTCACGAAAGCTTATGCTCAAATAAATTTGTTAGTCTCTAAGGTGCCACAAGTACTCCTTTTCTTTTTGCGAATACAGACTAACACGGCTGCCACTCTGAAACCTTAATTTATATATGTCACTCAAGTAAATTTAGGTGACATACATAAATGATAGAGCTGATCTTTTTACACGAAATGTGGACCAAATTAAGGGGTTTTTCTTGCTGTTTTTAAGCCAGCGGATAGTAGTCCAAATAATTTTGAGTATTCAAAATGTAGACTAAAATGTTCTGAATAAAAAATAGCGAACTATGGTCTAACCTCAAAAGATGCTGAGTGGTTCTCAACTTTTTAGGGTTCATGAACATCTCGCAAGAAAGACTGATTTTTATAAGATTTCCAGCATTGCATCATTTGGTTGAAACTGGAAATACCACAAGAACACAGTCTTTCACGGTTTGTCTTGCAAATGGAGATACATATGAAAATAACTGTGTAGAATTTGAAATTGTGTCCACAGATGTTCATAATGGGTTTATAGCAATTCTTGCCTTGAAACAGACTTTTTTTTCTTCCAAAGCTGCCAGTTAACACAAGCATACTATGAAATATACACTTGAATAGATTCCTTATCAAAGTATGAGATGCACAAAAATATTTTACAGAAATTTCCATAAATTGATTAATCTAATATTTATTATGCATTAAATACATAGGGTCCATCTTGCAACCTATATGCATTGAAGTGAATTAGAGTTTTGTATGTTGAAGGACTGTCTGTTTGTTGAGTTATATTTAAACTCTGCTCCAAATTATGTTACAATTAGATCTCATAAGCCAGTTAGAACCAGAAGTTGTGGAGAAAGTTCCCTCACACACCAATTCCAGTTCTTTTTCCTAGAGAAACAATTATCTAAAGGACAAATCAAACTGTAGTCTATTTTGTAATAAAATAAAATAAGACTAGACAAAAACACAAGCTTTTAGGCAGTGGGCTTATTTTATTGAGGTTAATGCTGCCTTGAAGAAATCAAGGCACTATTTCCTGTTTTGTACTGGAAATAGTATTTGGCACTGAAAATATCCTGCTCCCCTATAACGAGGTCCCAGCAGGGCCTTCCTGGCTCCTGCCCCCACTGGGCTGAGAAAGTCACACAGAGACCCTTGGTGCAGTGCTCACCTGATGCTTTTATTTACAGGTTGTGTTCCCACCACCTTTCCACCATACACATAGTCCCCTTCTTACAGGCCACCTGCAGGAGAGAGGGGGAAAGCTAGCTCTCTCTGCTTCCCCTCACTGCCTTCCCTCTAATACAGCTTACAGCCTGTCCAGCTCCTCCCCTGGCTTCCTTCCCCTGGGACTTTTATCCAGCCCCAGCCTGATGAGGCAACAGCTGTTCCAGCTTTCCCAATCAGGGCCAGGTGATCTGCCCACCTACAATTCACCTCTCTTAATTGGAGCTGGAGTGACAGAGGTTTGGCTAAGCAGTTTTCTGCTTAGTCCCCTGACACCCCCCCCCCCATTGGATATTTCCAAAAGCACATACAAATTAATCAAATGTTTATAAACCAAACTATTAAAGGAATTATAAACTCAGTGAAACTGTAGTTAGATTTGATAAACAGGTTTAATTTACAATCAGTAATGAGATTAGTTTAGAAACTTTAGCTATTTTGTGGACTAAAAGAACATCTATGATTAATTCTTTAGAATCTCTGCCTGATGGCATGGAATCAAATATGGAATGACTGTGGAAGGAAATATAAGCTTGGAAGAAAAAAAAATAAAATAGAGAAAAAAACAAAAGAAAAATGGTCAATGTCAAGTCTATTGAATCTTCTGTGGATCCTCATTCTTTAAAGCTATGCAAAATCTTCTTTTCTTCTTAACTTTTTTTTTTCTTTCCTTTCTATCTAGACACACACAGGGGAAAAGGAGAAAATTTGCCCATATTGTGGACAGAAGTTTGCAAGCAATGGAACATTAAGAGTTCATATTCGGAGTCATACAGGTACAGTAGCTTATGTGGTAAAGAGAACTTAGTTCTTTAGATATATAACTATATTACAAAAATATTTCTAGCAATCTAACTACCGTTTTACACACTGGGTGACTTATCACAGCATTTTGAGATTTTTAGTGCTCTTTTTGCCTGATTAACTTGATTAACAGCTACCATGCTTCAAACATAACAATTACAAAAATCCCATTAGACTATCTGATTACCCATCTGTTTGTCCATGAAAGAACTTTCCTACTAATCAGCCTGCTGTTCTGGCCTGATTAATTTGGAGCCAAATCCTGCTACCCTTGTTTGTGTAGTCTCACATGACTTCAGTGGAGCTATGACAGTTAGCACCAGTTGAGGATCTTCCCCAGTGACTTGAATGGAACAACTCCCATAAGTAAGGCAAGCAGAATATGACCCTTAGTGTTTTGAGACATCACCATAGTTCCGATGGTAAAGAATATCGTGCTATCAAATATTGGATTGATGCAATCACATTGATTGACTAAAAATTTATTGCATATAAATTAGATGGTCAGTTTTGTTGTTTTCGCCTTTGGAAGCAAAAACTGATTCTATTAATGTATCACCGTGTTAGTGATTTCTGGTTCTTGTGGGCAGTACAAGATGAGGTGAAGTTAGAGAGACGCTTCACACATGCCAGAATATTAGCGTGAGAGACAAGTTTGGTGAGGAATATATTTTATTGGATCAGCTTCTGTTGGTGGAAGGGACAAGGTGGCAGGAGACTGGCTCATAGGCAGTCTAGTGTGTGGAGCAGGAATCAGGTCTAGGGCTCGGAGTCCAAATGCCTGAGCACAAGGCCAAAATAGAGTCGGAGATGGCGACTGGAGCCAAAGGTCAAAACTGAGTCAAAATCCAAATGCCAGCACCAAGGAGTGAGACAGACAGTCAGAACCAGGGCCAAGGGTCAGAACCAGATTACCTCATGCAAGGGAGGCAGGAGCAGGGCTGGTTCCAAGGCATGAGCACGACTGGAACAAGAGTGGGTGCACGACAGGGTCTAGGCTGGAGCAATGTAGGAGTAAGCAGGAGCAGGGCTTGGAGTAAGGTGAGCACAGGGAGGCAGACAATCTGTGGGTGTGTGCATTATGCAGCCACTGATCCTCCCAGCTGCTGGGTTTAATAGCAAGCCACCTGACTGCCTTAACCAATCAGGTGGTTCTGCTGTGGCCTAGCTGCGATTGTTGGCTGCCTGACAACTGGGCAGGTGCAGCTGGAGGTCCTCATTTCTGAGAGAGGCTTTCAAGCTTACACAGAGCTCTTCTTCAGGTCTGGGGAAGGTAACCAGAGTGTCTGAGCTAAATACAAGGTGAGAGAGAATTCTGAGCATAAAGGTTTCACACATGCTGTAGGAGACCACTTAAAATGGATTGGGCAGTTTTAGCAGGCAGTAGGATGTGTTACAAATTGTTGTCATGAGCCATAAAACCAGTGACTCTGTTCAGTCCATGTTTTTTAGTGTCTAGCAGCATTCTGCATTTAAGTTCCCTAGCTTGTTTTTTGAAGGTGGTATGCATTGAGAGGCATGTGTTGCAGACAAATTCTAGAATCTACTAAGGCTGTCTTTTAGGGACAAGTGGAAGGATCCTTTTGGGGTCTTACCTGCTGCATTAGGAGAGTGGGTGTGGGTCACTCTTGCCCTGTTAAGACTCTTTGGTCTGAATTTACAAAAGTCCCTGTTTTGGGATCACTGCGATGCACAAACTCACTTGATGCCTAAGTTTTCAAAGTAAAAGTTCCCTAGCGGTCTATGTTTCTGCCTCTGAGCATGCTGCCTCCCTGTAGGTACCTGGGCCCCTATCTCCTGCCTAAGCCCCACAGCAATTCACAAACCGGGGAAGGCAGGCATTCCTCCACCTAAGTTGAGTGCAGGGCTCAATCCAGTAAGCATGCTCAGAGGGCATCTACTGGATCAGTCCCTTTGGGTGAGTTCAGACAAAATAGCTGGTGGGGGGCAGTCCGGAACAGGTCCCAGGGGGTAGGGTACTCCGCTCGGTTATAGGGGACCACCAGCTGAAGTCCCCTTTCCACCTGAGGAGGAAAAGGGATTTACACTGGAATCTGTTCAGGTGAATGCTGTAATCATTGGGCTGTGGGATATTCTGGTGTGAAGCTCCCTCAAGCTCTCCTAGTGAAGCTGTTGGTTTCTGAATAAATGGTCACTGGAGCAGAGGGACTGGATCCTGGGTCTCCCACCTCCTGGATGAATGCTCTAATCACCAGACTATAGAATGATTCTAAAGCTTGTACTTTCTCTCGGGCCCAAATGACTCTGGGAGAAAATGGAAACATAGCAACTTCTTGTGACCATTTTAAAATCTTCATAGACGAAAGGGTGCCAACATCAGGGTCTCTCAAATCTGCGCCCTTTCAAATGTCAGATCAAGCAGTATGGGTTTGAATCCCTAGATCTGAACTTCACCCTTATCTTTTGGTTTCTGGGTTGAATCCAGAACGACAAGGGGCCTGTTTCCCAGTTCTGGTTTTGATATGGCTTTGAAATCTCCCAAAAAACGTGCAAAATTGCAACAGTATAAAATCCAAATTCAGACCCTAGTCTTGATCCAGCCTCAGATTCCAATCCTATCCTATATCTAATCCAGATCCAAACATTCTGTTCCTAAGCCCAACTCTACTCAAAGTTGTTTTTGTCACAAAGTCTCTTTCATTATAATGTCCTGATACCCATTTGTGTGTGTCACATAATCTTGTGTACATAATTGCACCCAAACCATATTATTATTTTCAGTGTACACAGGATTTATACAAACATGCTGAAAAACAAATCAGTCATATTGGCGGATTTCAGTTACCACCCACTACAGATTTAATTCAAGTAATTGGCATGTAGCTGAAAGTTTTAGTGATGTTTTGCTTCCAGCATGAAAGGATGTAGGTTTGAGTTTGACATGCAAAGCTGCTGTTAACAAATAGGCTTCCTGTGACAGTCTGTTCACTTTTGCATAAACAAATTTGGGTTGCAGGAAGATGACAGCATGTGTATGTTTAATCACTTGGCTTTCTACTATGTTTGGTAAAAGTCTTAATCACTTTCTTCTACCATGGCTATCTGTTAAGATAAAAGCTGTTTTGTGATACAGTTTACACGTCTAAATGCATCCAGTGCAGGATACTGGTAATTTCAATAGTCCCATATCTGATCATGTAGCCAGACAAAAATCTTTTATGGACTGGCTAAAAGGATGAAATTAATTTATATGTTTAGCTCTTATTCTCTAATGAATGTGAAAGTTATCCCTCATAGCAGGTGTAAAAAAGAGAATTCTGCTGAAATAGTTGTATATAGTTTAGCTAAAGAAAATTAAAAAACAAACTAAAAATACAAAAGGAAATTAAGGTCAGGGTAGGCATAATAAATAATAAAGAACTGCAGTGCAACCTCTCCTTCCCTCCCTCTCTTTCTCTTTGTTCTTTCACTGACAACCCAACTTTTCAAAACCTTGCAAGACTTTCATCCACAGGCTTCAACCCATATCTCTTCCTCCTTCTATCCCCTAATGTATCTGTATTTCTTCTTCTGTCCTCCATATCTGTTTCTTCCACAACATTACAACCAATGGGAGCTTCAGGTGCTCTCTGAGGTGTGAAGGGCAGCAACCCCTTCCTTCTCCCCCCTCTCCCCCCCCCAAGAAAAAAAAAATCTTGGAGCAAATGGGCTGTGGGTGAAAGGAGCCTGTGGAGGCTCTGCCCTCTCCAGGAAGAGAGAAGAGTTCAGTTTTTCCCTGGTAACCAAAGATGTCAGCAAAGTTAGACCATGTGTGCCACCAAGATGAATTACTGAAGTTGTCAAAAAGGGGAGATTGCTGTTCATTGTGGACAATCTGTACTTCTCCAGTTAATTGAAAGGGTCAAAGTCGTGCTTCACCTTCTGAGGGGCTACATCACTGCAAAGGGAAATATGAGTTGCCAGTGAAGGGAATCCCTGTCATCAGAAAGCAGTGCAAAAAGTCAAGAATTCTTTTGATGGCCTTTAATAAATAAAGTTTATTACTTTTAACTGCTTTGGGAAAGACTTGACAGGTTTTTAGGAGATTTTCTGAGCAGTAAGAGAGCTTGGCTGCTTATTAAACATGAAGCCATCGTTTCTAAATGTTGAAATAATTTTGAAGACTTCATGCTGTTGGCATCCATTAAACACTGTGGTTTTGAATTAAATCAATGCAAAATTATACCCTCCTGTGTTTGTCATCACATTTCTGCATATCTCATTTCATTCTGAGCTATGAATGAAACAATCCCATCTTTCTGGGTCACCCCTCCCCAGCCAGAGCTGAGTTTTGACAAAGACTGAACATCACAGTTGTGAATGTCCCAGAAATGCCTTCAGGTCTTAGTGATTACAGCAGACGTGGCTGGTGTCCCAATTCAGTGACATGGGTTGTCGTGTTCTCTCAGCATGGGTACTGGTGATTCATGTTGTATATAACTGTGTTCAGTGGGGCTTGTCCTGTTTTGTCTTAGGTAAATCCAGACACACATGGGCTCAAATTTTCTTTTATTAGTAGGGGCTCTGGCATCCTGTACCAATCCAGCTGAACTCCTATATGGGATGCTCAGGTTACAACACTACATTGGCCTGAAAGAGACATACCATTACAAGTCTTATGTTATGGATCCAGTATTACCATATGATATATTGAATTTATTTTATATGACCTATTGTGACCCACTTTGACCCCATTTGCAGTCTCACCATGATCCACAGTTTGAAAGACCCTGCTTTATAAAGTATCTTTCACAAGCATAGTAACCCATCTCTAAAATTTAAAGTAAATGTCTTCACTATTATTTAATACATGGTACATGTTCTCAAATGTTGTTACTCACAGATGTGTGCACGCTCCCTCAATAAGCAATTTTCTGTTCTCTTTTATCTTAGAATAGGACTCTGTAAATGAGGCCTAACAGTACTTGCCCTTTCAGCTGTAACTGCCAGTTTGGGGTGAGTGAAGCCGTCT